CTTTTTTCATGGATTTCGGCTTCAAATCTGAGAATAATTTAGTTTATGGAGTTCAGGGTATCACGAGGAACCATTAGGACACAAAATCTCGACAAAAAAAAATTTGAAATTTCATCGTTTTAGTAAGAAGGTACCCCCCTTATGATTTTTTTGGAAAATTTTGAAAAGTCATAACTTTTTTTCTATTATAGATAGAAAGCTGAATCTTTCACTGAAAATTATCCTTTTCAAAGGACTACAATCCCTGAAAATTTCAGCTCATTGACACTTATAGTTCCTGAGATAAAATCGTGCTAAGCAATTGTGGTGATTTATCAATTTTTCAATTTTTCTGAGTGCCTTTTTTCATAGATTTCGGCTTCAAATCTGGGAATAATTTTGTGTATGGAGTTTGGGGTATGTTGATTGACCAGTAGGATACAAAATCTCGACAAAAAAAAATTTGAAATTTCATCGTTTTAGTAAGAAGGTACCCCCCTTATGATTTTTTTGGAAAATTTTGAAAAGTCATAACTTTTTTTCTATTATAGATAGAAAGCTGAATCTTTCACTGAAAATTATCCTTTTCAAAGGACTACAATCCCTGAAAATTTCAGCTCATTGACTCTTATAGTTCCTGAGATAAAATCGTGCTAAGCAATTGTGGTGATTTATCAATTATTCAATTTTTCTGAGTGCCTTTTTTCATGGATTTTGGCTTCAAATCTGAGAATAATTTAGTTTATGGAGTTCAGGGTATCACGAGGGACCATTAGGACACAAAATCTCGACAAAAAAAAATTTGAAATTTCATCGTTTTAGTAAGAAGGTACCCCCCTTATGATTTTTTTGGAAAATTTTGAAAAGTCATAACTTTTTTTCTATTATAGATAGAAAGCTGAATCTTTCACTGAAAATTATCCTTTTCAAAGGACTACAATCCCTGAAAATTTCAGCTCATTGACACTTATAGTTCCTGAGATAAAATCGTGCTAAGCAATTGTGGTGATTTATCAATTTTTCAATTTTTCTGAGTGCCTTTTTTCATAGATTTCGGCTTCAAATCTGGGAATAATTTTGTGTATGGAGTTTGGGGTATGTTGATTGACCAGTAGGATACAAAATCTCGACAAAAAAAAATTTGAAATTTCATCGTTTTAGTAAGAAGGTACCCCCCTTATGATTTTTTTGGAAAATTTTGAAAAGTCATAACTTTTTTTCTATTATAGATAGAAAGCTGAATCTTTCACTGAAAATTATCCTTTTCAAAGGACTACAATCCCTGAAAATTTCAGCTCATTGACACTTATAGTTCCTGAGATAAAATCGTGCTAAGCAATTGTGGTGATTTATCAATTTTTCAATTTTTCTGAGTGCCTTTTTTCATAGATTTTGGCTTCAAATCTGGGAATAATTTTGTGTATGGAGTTCAGGGTATCACGAGGGACCATTAGGACACAAAATCTCGACAAAAAAAAATTTGAAATTTCATCGTTTTAGTAGGAAGGTACCCCCCTTATGATTTTTTTGGAAAATTTTGAAAAGTCGTAACTTTTTTTCTATTATAGATAGAAAGCTGAATCTTTCACTGAAAATTATCCTTTTCAAAGGACTACAATCCCTGAAAATTTCAGCTCATTGACACTTATAGTTCCTGAGATAAAATCGTGCTAAGCAATTGTGGTGATTTATCAATTTTTCAATTTTTCTGAGTGCCTTTTTTCATAGATTTCGGCTTCAAATCTGGGAATAATTTTGTGTATGGAGTTTGGGGTATGTTGATTGACCAGTAGGATACAAAATCTCGACAAAAAAAAATTTGAAATTTCATCGTTTTAGTAAGAAGGTACCCCCCTTATGATTTACATTTTGGAAAAGTTTGAAAGGTCATAACTTTTTTTCTATTATAGATAGAAAGCTGAATCTTTCACTGAATTTCATCATTTTCAAAGGACTACAATCCCTGAAAAATTCAGCTCATTTGCACTTATAGTTCCTGAGATAAAATCGTGTAAAGCAATTTGGGGTGATTTATCAATTTTTCAATTTTTCTGAGTGCCTTTTTTCATAGATTTTGGCTTCAAATCTGAGTATAATTTAATATATGGAGTTTGGGGGATCCCAAATGACCATTAGAACACAAAATCTCAACAAAAAAAAATTTGAAATTTCATCGTTTTAGTAGGAAGGTACCCCCCTTATGATTTTTTTGGAAAATTTTGAAAAGTCATAACTTTTTTTCTATTATAGATAGAAAGCTGAATCTTTCACTGAAAATTATCCTTTTCAAAGGACTACAATCCCTGAAAATTTCAGCTCATTGACTCTTATAGTTCCTGAGATAAAATCGTGCTAAGCAATTGTGGTGATTTATCAATTATTCAATTTTTCTGAGTGCCTTTTTTCATGGATTTTGGCTTCAAATCTGAGAATAATTTAGTTTATGGAGTTCAGGGTATCACGAGGGACCATTAGGACACAAAATCTCGACAAAAAAAAATTTGAAATTTCATCGTTTTAGTAGGAAGGTACCCCCCTTATGATTTTTTTGGAAAATTTTGAAAAGTCATAACTTTTTTTCTATTATAGATAGAAAGCTGAATCTTTCACTGAAAATTATCCTTTTCAAAGGACTACAATCCCTGAAAATTTCAGCTCATTGACTCTTATAGTTCCTGAGATAAAATCGTGCTAAGCAATTGTGGTGATTTATCAATTATTCAATTTTTCTGAGTGCCTTTTTTCATGGATTTTGGCTTCAAATCTGAGAATAATTTAGTTTATGGAGTTCAGGGTATCACGAGGGACCATTAGGACACAAAATCTCGACAAAAAAAAATTTGAAATTTCATCGTTTTAGTAAGAAGGTACCCCCCTTATGATTTTTTTGGAAAATTTTGAAAAGTCATAACTTTTTTTCTATTATAGATAGAAAGCTGAATCTTTCACTGAAAATTATCCTTTTCAAAGGACTACAATCCCTGAAAATTTCAGCTCATTGACACTTATAGTTCCTGAGATAAAATCGTGCTAAGCAATTGTGGTGATTTATCAATTTTTCAATTTTTCTGAGTGCCTTTTTTCATAGATTTCGGCTTCAAATCTGGGAATAATTTTGTGTATGGAGTTTGGGGTATGTTGATTGACCAGTAGGATACAAAATCTCGACAAAAAAAAATTTGAAATTTCATCGTTTTAGTAAGAAGGTACCCCCCTTATGATTTTTTTGGAAAATTTTGAAAAGTCATAACTTTTTTTCTATTATAGATAGAAAGCTGAATCTTTCACTGAAAATTATCCTTTTCAAAGGACTACAATCCCTGAAAATTTCAGCTCATTGACACTTATAGTTCCTGAGATAAAATCGTGCTAAGCAATTGTGGTGATTTATCAATTATTCAATTTTTCTGAGTGCCTTTTTTCATGGATTTTGGCTTCAAATCTGAGAATAATTTAGTTTATGGAGTTCAGGGTATCACGAGGGACCATTAGGACACAAAATCTCGACAAAAAAAAAATTGAAATTTCATCGTTTTAGTAAGAAGGTACCCCCCTTATGATTTTTTTGGAAAATTTTGAAAAGTCATAACTTTTTTTCTATTATAGATAGAAAGCTGAATCTTTCACTGAAAATTATCCTTTTCAAAGGACTACAATCCCTGAAAATTTCAGCTCATTGACACTTATAGTTCCTGAGATAAAATCGTGCTAAGCAATTGTGGTGATTTATCAATTTTTCAATTTTTCTGAGTGCCTTTTTTCATGGATTTCGGCTTCAAATCTGGGAATAATTTTGTGTATGGAGTTCAGGGTATCACGAGGGACCATTAGGACACAAAATCTCGACAAAAAAAATTTGAAATTTCATCGTTTTAGTAGGAAGGTACCCCCCTTATGATTTTATTGGAAAATTTTGAAAAGTCATAACTTTTTTCTATTATAGATAGAAAGCTGAATCTTTCACTGAATTTCATCCCTTTCAAAGAACTACAATCCCCTGAAAATTTCAGCTCATTTGCACTTATAGTTCCTGAGATAAAATCGTGTTAATTAGATCCGAATAACGTTTATATTGGATAAAAATTAACGGAGTTGTGAGGCAAAAACTAGGGATGCACCGAGGTTTGCCGAATAATTTCCGAATATTCGGCCACTTTTAAGTAAATGCCGAATATTCGTTATTCGGCTAGCAGTGATAAGGTATTCGGCGAATATTCGGCTAATATTCGGCAATTATTCAAAAACACACAAATGCACACAAGTCGCCACGGGAATTCACATTAATGAAAATAAAATCGATATTGCCAACTGCCAATAATGCCAACCCTAAACTAACCCAATAACCCATCTGCAAGTCTTTACATTGCCCCAGTTGCCAAAAACACTTCGACCGATTCGTGTGGTTCAAAAAAATAGTCCCGCGATTTTTTCGCTTGCTGCGACCGTTTTCGTTTGTACTCTTTCGCATTGGACTTAAACTTCCTGCAAGACTTGGCCAACTGAGTGGAGTTTGGAAGTAAAGCTAGGTAAGGTGAAAAAATATCCTTTTCAATTTCAATTTAAAATATTTCATCGATTACCATTTTATCAGCAACCTGTGGATTTTCCAGTTTTAATTTCGCACAGTGGAAAATTTTCAATATTTGATAATTTCAATATTGAAGCTTCCCAGGAGTGAAACTGTAGAAACCAAATTAAAATTTCAATTAACAGATTTCTAGAGCATTTAATTGGCTTTAATTAGAGCTCAATTACATTGAAATATTTTGAAAATTACCGGAGCTGTGACGTAAAAACTGTCTCAGGAAACAAACGTTTAATTTTGTTTAGTTACGTAAACACAAAACAAAAATTATCACAATAACCCATATAAAGCCAAAAACCCACTGGAATTTTTGTTTTGCCAACCCTGATCTTTTGACAAGTTATTCATACCGTTTCTCTCAACATTGCTTCCAATTGGTTTCAAAATTTCCTGTATTTGAATTTGATTTTCAACTTATGATCAACATTTTCTCTAGGTGTTCCCAGTCAACCGAGTAGCTTGCGCGCTTTCGACATCGGCGAAAGTTCCGTGACACTCCAGTGGAGCAAACCCACGCACTCCGGCGAAAGTATCGTGAGCTACGAGCTCTACTGGAACGACACTTACGCCAAAGAAAAGCACCATCGTAGAATACCAATTTCCGAGTCCTACATATTGACCGGACTGTATCCTAACACGTTGTACTACGTATGGTTGGCTGCGAGGTCTCAAAGGGGCGAGGGAGCGACCACACCTCCTATACCCGTCCGAACAAAGCAGTATGGTAAGATTTTTTAGGCGAGGTTAATATTGAAAAATAATTAATTGAGAACACATACACGTTTGACATCCGAAAAATAATTTTTATAAATAGATTTTTGCCCTTAATTTAATTTATGTATATTTCGAAATGATAGGAATACGGCCCTGGAAAACTTTGAATTTGATGAGTTTGTTTACGAATTTTTAATTTTTTATCAAATTCATAGTTTAAAAAAAAAAGCAAAGAGACAACTGCATAATAATTTATTTGCATGGATGCCAAATTGTTATGAATATAAATAGAAAAATAATTATTTAAGTATAAGAAAACATTAGCTATTGACATAAAGTTGTCTCTTTGTCAAAATAGGTTTAGAAAGTGTGATTTTTTTTTTCATATTGGTGAAGTTATTTATTAGTGAGTTTGCGCGTGTGAATGTGCAAAAGAAAATTTGCATTCATAATTTTAAAAAGCATGTTTTTTTTAGTCAGTGGTTTTTAAATTATTTTTTTTTTTTTTGTTTTAAGAGCACTGCACCAGTACTGGCTATGTGATTTTTTGACTATGTATTAAGTGCAATCGCACCTTTTTATTTGGTTTTCATTTTTTCTACTTTTTTGGTAGTTTTTATTTTGGTTTACTTTACAGGTTATAATTACTTTTTTAGTCCAAAAAAAAAAAATAATAATAAAATAAAGGAAAATATATAGGTAAAAATCACTAAGTAAGAATTTTCGAAATTATTTTAATCAAACTATTTTTCGCAGTGTTGGCAAAATTCAACTACAAATTCACACTCACACATACACATACACATTTTCATTTGACATAGAGTTAATTCTTTTAATCTACAATAATTATTAAGTTTGTCCTATAGAGCATTCAATCACATTTTGCTGTTTTTCTCGAAAACAATGTGTTAAATCAAAAAATTTCAAGAAATATAAAGATTTCTAAATTGAATTGGCCATGTAACTGAATAATAATTTTTGAAAAATTTTGAAAAACATCTGAGTAATTCTCAGTGGCGGCTCGTGACTATTTCAAGTGAGGAGGCTAAGGTAAGGTAACCACTGCGCAGCAGGCAAAATTCCAGCCCTTCGGGCTCGCTTATAACTCTGGCCCTTTTTTTTTTTTTTTTTTGGGAATTCAAATTTTGATTATTCCCGGCTCTTGATTGGCTTTAAATTTTTAATATTCCCGGCTTTTGATTGGGTTTAAAATATCCTATCGAGATTTGATAAAAACATATGGCAACGTTGCTCATGATACAACAAACGTCAAAAAATTGAAATTTCAAAGTAAGCCTTGGTTTTTTTGACAGTCGATATAAAATGGCGTCTTTTTGTTTCAAAGATTACGGTCCGAAGTATTAAAATCAGTTGACAATAAACGGGTTCGTATAACTCCGGCCCTTCGGGCTCGTATAACCTCAGACCTTCGGGCTCATAATTAAAATAACTCCGGTCTGTCGGGCTCGTATAACTCCGGCCCTTCGGGTTCGTATAACTCCGGCCCTTCGGACTCGTATAACCTCGGCCTTTTGAGATCATAATTGAGATAACCTCAGCCTTCCAGAATCGAAATTTTAAAAAAAAATTATATGGCAACACTGCTTATAATACAACAAACGTCAAAAAATTGGCCGGTCCCCTGTTTGGCTACTTCCTACGTATTCGCCGAGGCTAAACCTATATATGTCCATGTGGTTTTTTTTAAAATTTTGACGACTATCAATGTCAAAAATTTTTACCTTTTCTTTTTTTGAAAAAACAAATGTCAGAAAACGATCCCCAGGCTCAGAAAACCCTAAAATAAAAAGTTTCATAGATATATGTCAAAAACCAACGGCCTAGCAACGCCGAACGTCTTTTTTGACATATGTTAAAAAAAATTTGATACTTCCTACGTATTTGTCGCGGCTAAATCTATATGCTCATGTGGGTTTTTTTAAATTTTGACAGTTGTCAATCTGAAAAAAAAAATTCTTTTGTTTTTTCCAAAAAACAAAAGTTGGAAAACAAGTCGTTTTTTAGTGAGTTTTAGGGTGAGATTTATGTAGCAACATGTAGCAACACTTATATGAAAACTTAATGAATTCATTTTTAGCAACAGTTGATACAAAAAATTCAATTTCCCGTCAGGTTTGGAATTCGAATTTTTGAATTTTCCCGGCTCCTGCTTGGTTTGGGGATTCGAGTTTTGATTATTCCCGGCTCTTGATTGGCTTTAAATTTTGATATTCCTGGCTCTTGATTGGGTTTAAAATAACCTATAATTTCGGCCCTTCGAGCTCGAGATTTGAAAAAAACATATGGCAACACTGCTCAACAAACGTCAAAAAATTGAAATTTCAAAGTAGACTTTGGTTCTTTTGACAATCGATACAAAATGAGGTCTTTTTGTTTTAAAGATTACGGCCCAAAGGGCCGGTGTATTAAAATCAGTTGACAATAAACGGATAAAACTTTTGTCGTCGGTGTCACCTGTCAAATTTGACACATGTTCGACTTTTTCCCCGCTCTGCTATAAAAGCTACGAAAATCAAACCCAGGTACAAGGCAGTTTGACGACGCTAACTTATTACATGCCAATTTATTACGTGGCACAAAACTTTGTTACCCGCAAAACGTAAGGGAGAAGTTAATAATGAAACTTGAAGGAAGTGGGACAGAGAATGGGTAGCTATAACAGAAAGAATAGAAAGAAAGGGTTGGTTGGTGGCTGAAATCTAGAAAAGTGATTTCGTGTATAGGGTTGCCGACTAGCTTCCAATACGGAGAGTGGTGTGGGTTAATTAATTACCTAAATATAGAGCGCCACCTACTTTTTCCCTGCAGTACACGAAATCAACCGATATAACGAAAGCAGGAAACTTCTACGGAACTATAGCAGCCAACCTGAAATATAAACAAGAAGAAGGGACAAAAGTGAAACGCTTTGCTACAATCAGGTACGGGTCTTTAATTAAAACTCGAACAGAATGGGTTTGACTCCAAAGCAGGTCGGAGAAGAAAAGAAATCGCCTAAAAACTAGAAGTACCTAACCTATATACTCTAAAAATAGTAAATACAAAAAAATTAACTCGAGTCCCTTGAAGTAAAGAGTACCGTACAATAGCAATAATACCTGAAATATAAATGATCAATATACAAGCTCACTAAATGCAGTACCTTCGTAAATGGCCATTTAACCCCAGTGTACAAGTATCTACCTGTATTCAGTGCAGCATTAATCAAAGTTGAAGTAACAATACGTAACCTGAAGGGCTTTAATATTATGTAACAATATAGGTAGGATAAATACCTAAATACCCAAAAAAATTGAAGTACGATCGATTTATGTCAAAAAAAATTGACAGCTGTCAACGTCAAAAAGAGTTTTTTTTTTAATTTGCGAATTTCAAGAAAAAAAGTGGTTGAAAACGATCCCCGGACCTCAAAAACCCTAAAAAAAAATTCAAAAAAAAAAAACAACGAAAATGACATTCCAAAACCTACTTGATAAAACTAAAGTTTTTCTCACTTACCCCGTTGAAAAACTGGAAATTTTCGGTGAAAAATGAAGAAAACTCAAAGCCTCGTACTTTAAATCAGTTTTCCCGACTAAAAAAGCACCGGAAAACTGGAAAATTCGAAGAAAAACTGAATAAAAATGTAAACACGTCAATTGAAAATGGCCGACTGTCAAAAATGCTTCCTTGATTGAAGTTAGCCACAAGCGATGTTGCCACATCAAAAGCATTTTAAATGGGATTTTGCTAATTATGGCATTTAAAACTAGAAATTTTCACTAAAAAATGAAGAAAACTCAAAACCTCGTATGTTAAATCGCTTTTTTCCATTAAAAAACCCCGGAAAAGTCGAAAATTCGAGCAAAAACTGGCAAACAATCTTATGATGTCACTTCAAAATGGCCAACTAAAAGCAACGTTGCCACATCTCATCTCGGAAAACAAAAATAACATTTTAAAAGGGTTTTTGTTTAAAATTCGATTTAATAATTAATTAATAATGATTATAATAATTAAAATTCCCCAAATAAATCATAGGAAACTTGTTTTTAGTTTAAATTCAATGAAAATGACATTATTGATTATAGTGAGTAAGACAAAGACAACGATAAAGTAGTATATGTTTGCAAAAACCACCGTTTTCTGAAAAAAGTAAAAATCTTTAAAAAAAACCCCATAGAAAACCAACATTCAAGTCAATTTGATAAAACTAAAGTTTTCGAATATTCCCGGCTCTTTGATTGGACGCTAAAAATCGCATTTTAAATACTCCCGGTTTTTAATTGGCTTCAAATTATCTGCTGACCAATAGAATTATAGACTGAGCCTCGTGATTAAAGTAACTCTGGTCCTTCGGGCTCGCGTATAACTCCGGCCCTTCGGGCTCGCGTATAACTCCGGCCCTTCGGGCTCGCCTATAACTCCGGCCCTTCGGGCTCGTATTACTCCAACCCTTTAAGCTCGCATATAATTCCGGCCCTTCGGGCTCGTATTACTGAGTATCCCAGATTCACAGATTTTTGTCGTGAAGGCGCGGGATTGATTGAAATAATGCCAGATTTTTCTAAATTACATTAAAATATCGAAATTTGTGAATTATTATTTTAATTAGGAATCAGGAATAAAAAATTGAGATTGAATTTTCAATTTTTTGAGGAAGGCTTAGCCTCCTCTAACGAGCCGCCACTGGTAATTATCGTAGGTTTTCAGAAATCTTAAAACAAATTTTGTTGTATTTATATATCTGGACACACTGTATTATGATATCGAAATGTAGATTTCAAGAATTTTCTTCAAAAAAACACAAACGTCAGTTACTAACCAGCTTTTAGCCCAGACCAAATTAATCTATGAATCTTGTAAGTGAAAATGGACGCAGCTCATTCAGTGGCTAATAAGGTGTGGGTCAATAATAGGGCGTTACTGAATTATTAGAAATAGTTACAAGTTTTAATTGCAACAAGGTACCACCATCTCTTGCTAATAGTACCTTTAGTATCTGATTAGTTCTTATTACATCAACATCAACTGGTCCAGTTTTAAACTACTTTCAATCAACAATTTCTAAGATCTACTTCTTTTTTACGCCTGTGAATTTTAAGCCTTGTACACAGGGTTGCCAGATCTATGAAATGAAAAAGCGGGACTGTTCTTATCCAGAGTGCCACGCCCATAAGCATAAGGGGCGAAGGGGCAAGTGCCCAATGTGTCCTCTCCCCCTATGGACCCCCTTGAGCAAAAGCAAAACAAATTTTTTGGAGCCACGCCCAAATTTAGTTTGTAATTTCTTCTGATAATAATATATTGTTTAATGAGTGACAAAAACAGTATCAAACGAGGCGAAAGCTAGTTTGGTAATGTTTTCAAGTTGCAAAAAATGAATTTTGACGATTAAAACATTATACTTTTTCTATGACCATGTTATATAACATGGTCTGCGAGTGACGTCACCACTTCAGCAGCTAATAGTGGTGACGTCACCCGCAGACCTCGATGAAATGCATGCGGTTCAGGCTCATTATTTGACTTTTGCGTCGATTTTAAATGAAGAAATAGCTATTTATGTAACAAGTTGTAAAATGAGCGTTTTTTGTACTAAATGCAAAGATTGGGTAGAAAAAGCGGGACCGATTAACAAATTGCGGGACTGTCCCTCCTAAGGTGGGACGTCTGGCAACCCTGCTTGTACACCATAATCCAAAAACTGTTGTTGTCCATTTTCATTCAAAAAGTTTCTAAATCATTATGCTTCATAATCATATTCATGTCGAATAATTGCACAATTTGGTCTGAGTTGTTTGATCTGGTTGGATAATAAACAAAAATCTAGTACCGGGCGCGCCGCCGAGCAACGTACGAGGAGAGGCGGTAAGTCCGACGGCGATCAGGGTGCGGTGGGATCCGCCGCCTGCGAACCGGAGCAACGGCAACATAATTTACTACAAGCTGCATTTCGTTGAAGCTGATAGGTCCGATAGCGACGCTACGATTAACAAAATGAACGGAACCGAATTCGAGCTGGACGAGCTCAAACGCTGGACGACTTATCGTATTTGGGTGCTGGCTGGGACGTCGGTCGGCGATGGGCCCGCCTCTTATCCGATCAACATTCAAACGTTAGAAGATGGTACGTTTCACTGAGAATAACTTCTACATACCCCTATACCAAAATAGATCGACTATAGTTTTTTTTTTCTTCTCAATTTTTTGAAAATTTCATGTTAATAAAACCAAGGTCCGATTTTGAAAGTTGGATATAGGTACACATTACAAGCATTAAGTGTACATGAAAAGAGATCTATACTCTGTTTTTTTGATTCCCAGGTGTTGCGGAAATAACCCACAACAAGTTTAAACTTTTATTATTTCTAATTTAATATAATCTCAATTTCTATTATTTACCGTAAAAATAGTATTCTAAAAATAGATGCAACAACCGTTTGAACCAGTAAAATTACAGGTTTCTTCATTTCCTTATGAGACAGTGGAGCTATATCACTGCTGTGATTGGTCAGCCGCCACATTGTTTTCTAGATTTTTGCGACCTGCTCCGGAAAAGCTAGTCGACGCGCATTCGGCAGTACCATTATATTAAGCGAAGAGTTCGCACCCTCGCGCCCTCTGAATGCTCCCCAGAGGAAAAACCCCAAAAAACCCCCGTTAGTGCACGCGATTTATAGTACAATAGAAAGATCAATGTTTGGAATAACATTGAAACAGTGACACTTGCAAAGAAAAAAGTAGAGACTTTATCTGATCCAGATTGTGTCAGACGAACAATGTTCCGAAATGGAACAAGATAAATTGAAATGTAGTCAAAGTTAGTGAGGTCAGAAAACTCAACTGGAATTAGAAACGCTTGAATCTGGACATATCTTCTACAGCCTGAAAAATGAATTGGTTGAATCGGCTTTTTAACAAATGAAAGTATGGTACACAAAAATTGCTATATCAATACAATCTCAAAGTAGCCTACGTCTGTAAGTTATCCAAAGCAAAATAGAAAGATCAATGTTTGGAATAACATTGAAACAGTGGCACTTGCAAAGAAAAAAAGTAGAGACTTCATTTGATCCAGAATGTGTCAGACGAACAATGTTCCGAAATGGAACTAAATAAATTGAAATGTAGTCAAAGTTAGTGAGGTCAGAAAACTCAACTGGAATTAGAAACGCTTGAATCAGGGAGGCTTTATTTGAAATTGATGCAACTTTACGTACACGCAAATATGATAAAAATGACGTCATTCGCGATTGAAAAAGTGCATGTCAAATAAGCCATGCACCAATTTTCAATCACAAAATGACGTCCTTTGCGTGTACGCAAAGTTGCATCAATTTCAAATAAAGCCCCCCTGGACATATCTTCTACAGTCTGGAAAATGAATTGGTAGAATCGGCTTTTTAACAAATTAAAGTATGGTACACAAAAACTGCTATATCGATACATTCTCAAAGTAGCCTACGTCTGTAAGTTGTCCAAAACAAAATAGAAAGATCAATGTTTGAAATAACATTGAAACAGTGACACTTGCAAAGAAAAAAAGTAGAGACTTCATTTGATCCAGATTGTGTCAGACGAACAATGTTCCGAAATGGAACAAAATAAATTGAAATGTAGTCGGAGTTAGTGAAGTCAGAAAACTCAACTGGAATTGGAAACGTTTGAATCTGGACGTATGTTTTACAGTCTGGAAAATGAATTGGTAGAATCGGCTTTTTAATAAATGAAAGTATGGCACACAAAAACTGCTATATCAATACAATCTCAAAGTAGCCTACGTCTGTAAGTGGTCCAAAGCAAAATAGAAAGATCAATGTTTAGAATAACATTGAAACAGTGACACTTGCAAAGAAAAAAAGTAGATACTTTATTTGATTTCAAATGCAGACAGTAGCTGTTTTCGGAAATGTAAATCCTGGATCGAGTAGGTGAATATCAGCTGATCGCGGTTTAGCTCGATTTCAGAGTAGATTATTTAACGTTTCCGAACGATCGGTATCGACGATCGCTGGCACCAACGTTTGTTTTTCTCCAATGATTTGAGGTTAAATATTTACCTTTGACTTTTCATTAGTTTTCAAAGACACTGCTTGTGTTGTTTTTGGTCACGTCTGCACTCTATCTATAATACCGTTAATTCAAACACAGAACTTGACAAAACATATTAAATAAACATAACGCATAACCAAAAAGATCAAATAGCTGATAGATTAATCTTCTACCCACGTCAAGAGCAAGGTTAACGAGATCACAAACATATGAAGAAACCGAGTTAACAAGATCACTTACCGAACGCGAATACTCGACTTCGGATCTTATTGATAATATACCTGAACTAAAAATTAATACTAAGAAATTTCAACGGTCAACATCTCCTATGTGGAAGTTTAGTAGTAAACTTTAATGGAAATGTGATAAATAATATTCTAAAGGAAACTTCTCTAGTTTTACTAAATGATTGATCCTCAACTAGACTGACAATACCGGGCCAAAATAAATCACCTCCAGATATTTCTTTGGTATCCAGCTCTATGGCCACAGTAATGGAATGGAAAATTTTAAAAGACTGTGGAAACAGTGACCATCATCGAATATTAATTTCCTTGAGACACAAGAAGCAAACCTATAAAGGCAAATTGGAAAAGATACCATAATGAACTGTTAGCTTGATTTCTGGGAAACAGTCCACAATCATATATGTACTGATCTGGAATAAGATATACTACAAGTTACTGGAAAAACAATATCAGTAAAAAAAGTTGAACAAAGAAAGCATAGAAGTCTAGTTCGATGGTGGGATGAAGAATATCAATTAAATAAATGAATATTCAATGGAAAATTTTATCCAAGTGAAGAGGGTCAGTGCTCAGAAAAGAAGGAAATTCAAAGAAAAGGAATATTGTGTAAATATAAATAGAAATACACCATTACAGAAAATTTGGACAACAATAAGAATATTCCCAAAAGGAAAAATTAAATCAAGAAATAAAGCTCCAGAGCGGGAAATGGCAATAGGTGAACATAGATCCAGATTTCACAATAGACAGAAATATTCTGGATCCCAGGACACTCAAACATCCGAGGCAACACAATAGCAGACCAATTGGCTAACGTAGGTAGAAAGCTTAGGGTCCCATATGGGTGGATATTTAAAAACAGTTGATTTTTTTTAATTATTTTTGAAATTTTCGAGTGGAACGGTATATTTAAGAGAATTAGAAAAACTCAATTATTTTTAAATATCCACCCGTAAAGTCAGTCCTACTAACCAGACTCTTTCCAACGAACCTAAGATCAACCAAATTTATTGAGTCGTTTCAAAGTTATCGGCTTTCTTGGGTTGCAATATTTGATAGCTCATAACTATCTTATCCGATAAGTTATGGTAAAAAGTCATGAACCAAAATTGTGTGGAATTTCATCAATTTTTGTAGTTGTTCGAACCCAAAACAACTCTCGAAAATCTGTAACAGTGTAACAAAAAACAAATTCCACCTCTGTATGAAAATTCTCCAATATGCAACTTGCAACTTAACTATTTATTAAATGAAAAATACAGATTGTTTCAATTTTTGAGCATTCCAAAGCAAAATCAGGATCTTGGTTTTATACATTACACGTTAATTGTCCTACATTCATTTCACCCAAACTAACCCAATGGCAAAAACATAATAATCATGAGGACAAATTAACGTGTATCGATATTAATTATTTATTATTGAATTCCAAATCATCAAGCTTACAAACAGGAGAGTAAGCCCTTCAAGATTTAAATCCTTTATCCTTTATTTCCTATTTTATTTTAGTTTTTCTTTTTTTGGCATATCGTTAAGAGATATGTACTTAAAAATGTGACTATATATTTTGATTTTTTAACCATTGCAGCCCGCCCTAACCGAAGGAATTTTTGATGCTGGTTTTGTAATTTTTTTTTTTTACAGCTAGCCCTGATTGATTTTTTGATGGGGGATGAGACCAGACAATTTGTTGTATTAATAATAATAATTGATATTTTTGTCTTTTTTTTTTCTGTCTACAAAAGCGTTTGCAGGAGCACCCAACGAGGTTTTTTGAAATTATTTAGTTGTTTATTTTTCATATAGTTGTTTATTTTTTTGAAATTTTTTTAGCTACTCACGTTCACATGTAATGATTGCTTTCAGTTTTGTCTCACAGTTGCACTTGCAATGGCACAATTTTTTCAGTCACGAATCGGCACCGATTTTTTTTTTTTTTTTTTTTCGATTTTACAGCACCAGTCCTTGCATGTGTTGATTATTATTTGATTATTTTCCCAATTTTTTGAATAAAATCAAACGAGTCCTGTTTTTCCTCGACTTCCTCTTTTTTTTTGTGTTGAGCACCTCACTGCAGTAGTAGGTGACATGCGCACTAAAATGGCACATCTCTTTTCAATCACTTTGTGTGTATTTTGATGAAGGCACCAAAAAGTTTGATTTTGACGTACGAATGGAGTGAGCGATTTAGTTTTTAAATTTTTTCGATTAAATATGGACATTTTTGGGCCATAATTTAATACATAGATTTATTTGTAGTGTGGATGCGACTTAATTGAGTCCTTATTACAGAAAATAAAATGGTATTGGGATTAAGGTCATGCAAAAAACGCTTACCTGATTGTAATGTTGTAATATTAAATCTGAAACAAAAATATGCATTATTAGGAAATGTAAGTTGTAGTTATCAGAGAAAAGATTTTACACAATCAATACACAAAAATGAATGTTTTTGTACCTATTGGAAACAGTGTTGTCAGGTCATATTTTGTAGATTACCAGTCTAAATATCAGTAGAAATCAGTAGATAAGTTGCCTTATTAAAGGGGTAAACCATTAGGGTACTCAATTAATTATTTTAACTACGTTTTTTCAAATTATTAAATCATTAGACTGTGTATTAGACTATGAAAACTTGCATTAGAAAATCAAACACCAATATGTACTACTTATGAGAAATAGTTTATTAAGATTAAGACACATGAGATATTCCCATTAAATATATGCACTACCTATGGGATGCCCTATATTTGGTTCTATATTCTTGAAGAATACAATTTCCCGATTCTAAAACTATATACCTAGTTTGCCTATATTTGGTTGAGCCGGCTCCAACATATTTGGTTCTAAAAATTTTAAAAATACTATCAGGGAAACCAAGTACCTACCTTAAATTTTACTGACAACTTTCATCTGTACAGGTAGAATAGTTCACAAAATCAATAGTGGGATAGTATCTTTACAATTTTTGGAGCCGAATATAAAGAATGTTCAATCAAATATAAACAAACTATATATTTTTGAAATCGGGGCATTGTGTTTTTCAAGAATATAGAATGAAATTTAGGATGTCCCATTTAAAAAAAACTGGAAGCATGCAAAATTTCACATTTCTGACATTTAAATTTTGTTTCTAACCCTGATTTCTAAAAATTCAGCCAAAACTGTACAACTTTTGTATTTACACTTTTTCTCTACCTGTAAAGGTAAAAAAGGTAAGTGGAGTGTCAATATATAAAAAAACACCCTGTACAAATAAGTGGATTATTGCGGAACTTATGGGTGAACCTCTGCGGGACGAGCGCAGCGAGTTCCGCAGCCATCTACTCACTAATATACTGCTGAATTGTTCAAATAAGACATTCATTTGAAACATGTAGTTTTTAAACTAATAAGAATAACTCACATTTGAGTGAGTCAGATTAGTATCGTAATTAAACAACATATTGATGAATAGATGGCTGCGGAACTCGCTGCGCTCGTCCCGCAGAGGTCCACCTATAAATTCCGCAACAATTCACTCATTTGTACTTGAATAACTTGTCACATTATATTACTAGTTTGGTAAAGTAATATTACTAATTTCTGTTGAAAGGCGGATTGACAAAAAGTGAATAATAATAATCTTACAAATTTTGACTTTATATAATAAATTATTGTTCAATTACAAATAAATGGATTATTGCGGAATTTATGGGTGGACCTCTGCGGGACGAGCGCAGCGAGTTCCGCAGCCATCTACTTACCAATACAGGGTGTTCCAGGGAAAACAGTCCACCCCGATTTATTGGGTTTGGGAAGAGAATCTGGGAAAACGCTCGGACACGTCGATGTTTGATTTGAGGGGGAACTATTTTTCAGTTTTTTTCATCCCCGTAGCTTCAACCCCCTAGCTATGGGGAAAACAACCCCCCAAATTTGAATAGGGAATAGGGGTCGTGTCATACCTCTTTTTACCAGCCATCTATTCATCAATATGTTGTTTAAGTACGATACTAACCTCACTCACTCAAATGTGAGTTATTTTCATTAGTTTTAAAACTACATGTTTCAGGTGAATGTCTTACTTCAATAATATATTGGTGAGTAGATGGCTGCGGAACTCGCTGCGCTCGTCCCGCAGAGGTCCACCCATAAATTCCGCAACAATTCATTGATTTGTACTTGAATAACTTGTCACATTATATTACTAGTTTGGTAAAGTAACATTACTAATTTCTGCTGAAAGGCGGATTGACAAAAAGTGAATAATCATAATCTTCCAAATTTTGACTTTATATAATAAATTATTGTTCAAGTACAAATAAGTGGATTATTGCGGAATTTATGGGTGGACCTCTGCGGGACGAGCGCAGCGAGTTCCGCAGCCATCTACTCACCAATATATTGTTGAACTGTCCAAGTAAAACATTCACCTGAAACATGTAGTTTTTAAACTAATGAGAATAACTCACATTTGAGTGAATCAAGTTAGTATCGTAATTAAACATCATATTGATGATTAGATGGCTGCGGAACTCGCTGCGCTCGTCCCGCAGAGGTCCACCCATAAATTCCGCGAAAATCTACTCGTTTGTACTTGAATAACTTGTCACATTATGTTACTAGTTTGTTAAAGTAACATTACTTATTCCTGTTAAAAGGCAAATTGACAGAAAGTGGATAATCTTACAACCCAAGTAGCACATAATATTGGGTTAACATCGTTTTTCAGTTGGGCCAATATTTATTCATTTTTGTTACTAAATCAACACAGTACCAATATTGGGACAACGTGGGTTTTAACTATGTTGAAACAATATTTAAAAATAATCTTGTACCAATATTGTTTTCATAGATTAATTAACTTTTCAGTAATTTGAATATTGGCCCAAGACTTCTCACTACAGTATTGATTTATAAAAAATTGGCCAAATATTACATTTTATATTATCGAAACAATATTGTAATATAATATTAATTCAATATTGGCATTCAACTTTTTATTGATATTCACTTCAAAAACTTTGTACACCCAATAGTTATTTTCAATTTTTTCACAATATTGATACTTTTTGAAAAGCCCAATGAAGGGCCAATATTTACATACTAATTTGTGCACTTGGTGTGCCGACCAAAAAATAGATGGAGACTCTGTCTTCAGTTTACCTGTCTTAAACCTGGTTCCGGAATGAAGCCAAAAATTGGTTGTTTTCTCTCTGCGGAACCCTGTAAGGACTTAACCGTGCTGATGAGTTGTGATACAGCGAAACGGGTCCACGGATGGTCCGGCAGAGAGAAAACACTTCTCAGTCGGTCCTTATAATTGGTCCGTTACCCTAATTAAATATAATAAAAAGCCAAGATTTACATACGTCTTCCGGCCAATATTGGTAATTTTAATTGGCTCTATAATGCATAAAGTTCTTGATATGATATTGATAATTTCTTTTTGGGCCAAGATTTGGTTACGTTATTGTACCAACGTTGATATTTATTTTTGGGTATATATTGACATACGTTCTTGGACAAATATTGCAGTGTCCACATCTTTTATTGAGCCAACATAGAGAATCTGACTTGGGCCAATAAATTCTAGTTATTGTCCCAATATTGGCCCAACATGGGAGTGCTGCTTGGGAAATTCTGACTTTATATAATAAACTATTGTTCAAGTACAGGGTGTTTTTTTATATATTGACACCCCACCTACAGCCTTCACCTTTACAAGTAGATGAAAGGTGTAAATACAAAAGTTGTACAGTATTGGCTAAGTTTTTAGAATCCATGGTCAGAAACAACTAGACTAATTGGAGTAATCGGGCAGACGTCGTTCAGAGGACACTCTTAGAAGTCCTAGCCCAAAGGTCGCATATGAAGTTATTGCTGTAACATTCTCATACAAGATTTTAATTTAAAAAATATCATGAAAAGCAGGTAAATAATGACAACTGCTTTTATCAGTAGAATTTACATTGATATCAGTATATCAGTGGCCAAATCAGTAATCTACTGAAAATAATTTACTTACTACTGCCTGTGAATAAATCAACTTGTTAGTTTAGTGAAATGTACTTTCCATTTATCTAAATAATTTTTTAGTGTTTCCAAAACGAATATTTTGTAATTAGATTTAAGTAAATGTATTGGTTGGCAAAAGAGCATTTCGATCTGAAGTGAAGAGGAAAGAAAAAACGATATGGAATTACACAGTTGCAATGGAATAGAAACATTAGTTCGCATATTTGACGCTGTTCAATTTCCGCTGGTATTATAGTAAAATTCCCATTTAATAAACATGTAATTTCATCAACAAACAGTTGGAAATATGTTATTTAATGTTTGCTTATAAGTAGCTACTCCTAAACCAAATCTACATTTATTTTACCTGGCATTATTTTTGTAATCCACCCAAATATAGAAGAAGACAATCCATAATAATGTCCAAAAATGTCCATATTATTGTGTGTTTTGTGGAAAAAAGGGCATTTTATAAAAATTCTAGTTGCTTTGTGATTATTTACTCGACAGTCATCAGCGCTTGGGCAATACTAAAAATAAAGCACTTTGCGCATTTGAATACCAATATACTGTGGTATGTACATTTTTTTTGCATGAGCCATATGACGATTTTTGGTGCTCATGTCATACCCCCTTCGATTTTTTTGCTTATACATATACTCAAAGGCGTGCAAGTGACTACTACCAATTACAGCTACAGATGAAAACTACAGCTGGACACGGTTTTTTTTTAACACAAGTAAAATCACTACATGTGTGTGAGTATTATAAACGGCGTTTGTTTTTTGAAAGCCTCCAAGCATTTTTGTAGCAGGAGAAATTTTTCTGTAAAAAAAGATTTTTTTCATGATACACCCTCTATTTTATATTTTTCTTGACTTTTTGCTAAACGCGGTACCACAGACAAAAGGAGTGAGTATTTTTCTTTGTTGTGTGCTAGTAGTGACGTTTTTTCTTAGAGATTTTTGTAGACTTTTTGTGCTTCTTTTTGAGTTTTTGAAACAAGCAAGCCCCCCCCCCCCCCCCCAAAACAAAATAGGTTTAAAAAACAAAAACTAGAACTCCCTAATAATTTTTTTTTTGGCAAAAACTCTACTGGAAGAGGTAACTATATTTTTTTTTTTCGTGTGTTGGTATTCAAATGTAATAAAGGATGTTAAACAACGAAAAAATTAAAAGTTTTACATGAAAAACGTGTGATGTGCCAGCATGTACAACCAAAAACATTTTCAAATAAACCAAACAAATATTGATCCGAGTATTGATTGAAGTAAACGCTTTCGCAGTGCCCGGCGATCCTCAGGATGTCAAAGTAACACCCATTAATTCGACCACCATAAAAGTCAATTGGAATCCGCCACAAATCAGAGACCGTAACGGTATTATTTTGGGGTATCACGTACACGTACAGGAAGTTAAAGAAGAGGTAATTGGTTTATAAGTAACTCTAGTACGTATTTCCATTCTAGGCCAGGAAGTTCTGTTTTATTTTTTTTCTGGTATAGGACAAGGGCTGCTTATTATGGGTCTAAATTTTTCCAACAAAATTTTCACCCTTGATCGTTTTTTGTGGTTTTTCCAGAACGTAGCACACAAAAAAATACCTTCATAGCAAATAAAAGAGGGCTTAATTCTCTACAATTTATCCAGCGACAGCATATGTCTATTACCTACCCTTTAGTCGGGGTTGCGCTCTAAAGTTGAATGACCTTGAAAAGAAGATATTTTGGAAATTAATTTTTTTTTACTGAACAATAAAGCAAATCCACCACAAACCATACAGCAAATAATTAATATAATAAATAATAATAAATAAATAAATAATAATAAATAAATAATTTGCCGATTTTTTGATATATGTTTTATTTAAAAACAGTTACCCGTTCAAGATATACAGGGTGTTGAAATTTAAACAACCCCCTTTCATATCATCTGAAGGGCTGATGCTAGGCTGTTTCAAATTTCCAGGGATTATTGGTGGACCACTTACGTAGTAGAGGTGGGTATTGGTCTGATAGCCGGGGGCACTTGAGCCTGGGAAGTTTTTCGATACCGTGGGAAAATCTCTAGATCGGCGGCGCTTTTAATCTGAAATTTTGAGGATTTGACCCGGACCAACCCCAAAATTGACGAATTCTAATACAAATGGAAGAATTGGTTAAATATTCTTCAGTTTTCAAGAAAGTGAAAGGATATAATAAAGTGCCATCTCAGGGTAAGAGCCTTTTGAAAATAGATTAATGGAGGACTTTACGGAAGAGGGTTTACAGTGCAGGTGGGTAAAAAGTGCCTCCTCAGGGTAGGAGCTTCACGGAAGGGGGTATAGTGGAGGTGGGTAAAGTTCGCCTTACGAGTCTAGCACTACGACGTCTGAAGAGCAAGGGGACATAACGTCATTCATTTCGAGCTTTATGTTGCCTGTCATAGATGAACGTGCAACGTTTTTGAATAGTACTTTTTCCTTATAAATGTAGGTGTATAATATAAATAAATATTAAGGTATTTCTTATTGGAAGTCAAATAGGCAATATTGCAATTTTTTCATCCGCATTCTTTCCATAGTGCTAGACTCGTAAGGCGAACTTTAGTGGTATGATGACTGTGCTGAAGGGGAGTTTTTAGGTAGTAGAGGTGGGTATTGGTCTGATAGCCGGGGGCACTTGAGCCTGGGAAGTTTTTCGATACCGTAGGAAAATCTCTAGGTCGGCGGCGCTTTTGATCTGAAATTTTGGGGATTTGACCCGGGCCAACCCCAAAATTGACGAATTCGAATACAAATGGAAGAATTGGTTAAATATTCTTTGGTTTTCAAGAAAGTGAAGATATATAATAAAGTGCCGTCTCAGGGTAAGAGCCTTTTGAAAATAGAATAATGGAGGACTTTACGGAAGAGGGTTTACAGTGCAGGTGGGTAAAAAGTGGTGGGGTCAAAATCAATTGAATAAATTTTTTATGCGTAAAAAGGGACTTCAGTCTAAATTATCATTCTAGAAGGAGAATCAGAATTTTAAATGCAACATTTGCAAAGCAAAATTTAAAAAAAAAAAAGGCAGTTTGAAGAGACAAAAACTAACACTTGGACGAGAAGAATTTTAAATGCAACATATGCAATGCAAAATTTAAAGAAAAATTTAAATTAGGAAAATTTAAACAAAAAGGTAATTTGAAAAGTCACATATCAACAGACTTCGATAGTTATCTTTTTGAATGTGACATTTGCAAAGCAAAATTCAAAGGAAAAGACTGTTTAAAGAGACACAAACTAACACAGTCTGATATTTATTCTTTTAAATGTGACACATGCAATGCAAAATTTGAACACAAACGTAGTTTGAGAAGCCACATATTAACACACTCGGATGAGAAGAATTTCCAATGTAACATTTTCAATGCAAAATTGAAAAGAGAAGGCGATTTGAAGGAACACATATTGATACACTTGGATATTTAATTTTTTTGAATGGGACATTTGCAAATCAAAATTTAAACGGAAACGCGACTTGAAGATACACAAACTAACACATTCGGGTATTTATCCATTCGAATGTGACACTTGCAAGGCAAAATTTGAAGAAAAGTAATTCATGACATTTCAAGACACTCGGATATTTATCCTTTTGAATGTGACACTTGCAAATCAAAATTTAAATGGAAAGCTGATTTAAAGATTCACGAACTAACACATTCGGATTCGGACATTCAGTTATTTAAGAAATTTCCAGGGGGGGTCGAGTGACCAGCCTGAGTAGCTATAGGTAAATAAACAGGGCCTTGAACAAATTTTCTAAGTACAGTCAATCGTATATTATCTTGGCCAATCAAAAGCAAAGGTGGATTATTTATGTCTTGAATAGGTAAACCTGCTAAATGTGAAAAATGTTGCCAATGACTTTTCAAAACGTGTTGATTTGGAAGAGCAAGATTTTTAACCTTTCTTAATTTAAACTGTTTGGTAATTAGCTAATACAGGAATATCAAAACATACGGAATCTTCAGTGGTTCTTACAACTTCGTTAGTCTACTGCACGCAGAAAGGTTCTCGTTTCCCCTGTATTCGTAGACTTTCAAGAAGTGACTCATTAATCAGAGTAACTGTCGATGCCTCGTCACAAAGAGTACCATTCAGACCATAAAGAATAACATTTACCATTCTAAGTAAAACGTTACCTTTTTCTTTATCTTGTCTAGTAGTCAGTAGCTTTTGGCTCTGGTCAAAATTCGTATTATTTCCGTGAGGTTCCAGGTAGAAAATAGGGGTTTATTATACGAATTTTTCAATGTAATTCTTACATCAATAATCCCTGAAAATTTGAACAGCCTGATGTAATGATCCAGAAATTAGACCCGTAAATCACAATGTCTTTACTGTAAAAATTAAATATTATCAAATAATCAAAAACTGAATTTCCGGTATTTCCAAATCAGTATCGATAAATTAAAAATGGAACAAATTACCGTGACCCCAAATACATTCGAACTTATATTATTTCGTCAGCCGCGTGATGTCATCTCCTCTAAATCATAATATCAATGAATTTTTTAAGTGAGGCCACCATAATAATTAAATCGAATGATTTATGGCATTCTTGAATATTTACCTCGATAAATCAGGATATTGCGACATAATTATTCGATTTTTAAACTAAAAAATGATAAAAATTTCAAGGAAATTGCATCATCTTAATTGTCATGGACAAAGAAATTTGGGGGGATCGATTAAATATAAATACCACGGTTTTAGAAGAAATTTGGGGGGATCGATTAAATATAAATACCGCGGTTTTAGAAGTGGAAAGCAGTTGTCAGTTGAGTTGCCAGTTGTTAGCAGTCCAGTCCAGTTTGCGTTAAAGTCTACAGTACCTAATGAGTCAAAAGGGTTGAAATTCGCGAAAAGTTCTTATTAAGGTCTCGGAGAAAACGCGTTCGATTTTACTTAGAAAAAGTACGGAAAATTGTGAAAGAAATAACATTTGAAATTCGTTCAACTTATGTGCGGGCTCTAGAAAATTTTGAGTAATTAATTAAAGTAATTTTACGTGTGAAAAGTTAACTGTAAGTACTTAAGTGGTTAATATTTTTTTAATTTTCATCAATGATTCTGAAGGATAAGAAGTGAATTAACAATTAATGCCTAAAAACTTGAGTGATTTTTACTAGAAAAACTTTTTGACTTTATAATTAACTTTGGAACTTTATTGCATACGTTGCGGAAAAACCACAAAAAACTCTTTTAGAGGGATGAAAAGGGTGAAATTTTGTTGGAAAAAGTTGGACCCATAATAAGTAGCCCTTGTCCTACCAGAAAAAACAAATAACTTGTGTCGAGTTTGCGAGATTCAACCTCTCTTTCCTAGCCTATTCTTTGTTTGGGTTTATTTAAGGGCTATAATCAGGTTATTGAATGGAAATACATTTGCGTTTCTTTTTCTTAACGACAAAATTCTAACATCTATTTTGCGCCCATTAGAGTAAAAGTTTCCTAAACGAACCGATGCGCTTTAACGTCCTCGGTGATCAAACGCTAGAACTAAACATTAGCAGCCTTCAACCAGATACCACTTACAACATCCAAGTGGCTGCTTTAACCAGAAAAGGAGACGGCGATCGGAGTACTCCGGTTGAAGTGAGAACGCCTGGAGGTGTCCCCAATCGGCCTGCGCTCACCTTAAAGTATACACTTGAGCACAAAATTTTTTTATTAATTAACTAAGTATTTTTAGAATCATCGAAAGAGACCCGGCAGTGACAATCGAGCTGGAATGGTCTAGGCCTTCGCAAACCTACGGCGAACTAAAAGGCTACCGCTTGCGGTACGGAGTCAAAGACCAACTACTGAAAGATGTCCATTTGAAAGGTTCAGGCACTAGCTACCGAATCAACGACTTGGAACGAGGCGTAGAATACGAATTCCGAGTCGCAGGCCTAAACCACATCGGCATAGGCCAGGAATCCATCAAATATTTACGCACCCCTGAAGGACCTCCCACAGGACCCCCTACAAATATAACTTATCGCTTCCAAACCCCCGACGTGGTATGCGTAACTTGGGACCCACCAACCAGAAACCACCGTAACGGTCAAATAGTAAAGTACGACATTGAGTTTCACAAAAAATCCGATCACAACAACGTAATTTTCCGTAATGTAACCAAAACCAAAGCGGTGTTTACCAACTTAGAAGAAAACACCGAATATGTGTTTCATGTTAGGGCCTACACCAATCAAGGAACCGGACCTAACAGCGAAAAGCAAACAATTCAAACCGAAAAAGATATAGGCAGAGCCCCGATGGCAGTGAAAGCAGTAGCTACTTCAGAATCTAGCGTGGAAGTTTGGTGGGAACCTGTTCCTTCCCGTAACAAAGTCATTGGCTATCAAATATTTTACACAATGACTGCCGTCGAGGACTTGGACGAGTGGCAACAAAAAACCGTGGGCCTAACCAACTCGGCCGATTTAGTCAATTTAGAAAAGTACGCACAATACGCCATTGCTGTAGCAGTTAGAACAAAAAACGGCTTAGGAAGACTATCAGAAAAAGACACAGTCAAAGTAAAACCCGAAGACGTGCCCCTTAACCTGCGAGCCCACGAAGTCACTACTCACTCGATGACCTTATCTTGGTCGCCCCCAATCAGGCTAAATCCTGTCAAATACAAAATATCTTTTGATGCCATCAAAGAGTTTGTAGACTCGCAAGGCATTACCCAAACCCAAAACATACCGAGAGTCGAAATAATTTTAAACGATGACGTCAAATCGCATACGATAAACGAGTTGAGTCCTTTTACGACATATAATGTTAACGTGAGCGCCATACCTAGCGATGACTCGTACCGTCCTCCAACCAAAATCACTGTCACGACGCAAATGGCAGCTCCACAGCCAATGGTAAAGCCCGATTTCTATGGGGTAGTCAACGCGGAAATTCACGTAATCTTACCGCAAGCCTCCGAGGAATACGGTCCTATCAGTCACTACTATTTAGTGGTCGTACCCGAAGACAAATCGACCATACAAAAGAATCCCGATCAATTTTTGACTGACGATCTTTTGGATAATATCAAGAGGGTGTCCGACGATTCGACCTTGCCTTATATAGCTGCCAAATTTCCGCAAAGGAGTATACCGTATACGTTTCACTTGGGCACTGGTGAGGAAAAGGAGGGACTGACGAATTTCAAGTTGAAGCAGGGCACGAGATATAGGATTTTTGTTAGAGCGGTAAGTAAAAGTCACAGGGTTGTACCTTAATGGAGTGGTCATTATAATTTATAAAACAGTTGCCTGGTATTTTGCATTACTTTTCCAAAAATATTATCATCAGTGTCAAGTTCAAATTCAAAGATCTCTTTAGTCTATCTTTTGAGGGGTTAAGGGGGGGTTAGTCCTGAGCGCCGCCTCCTTAATCCACTCATCCTGCACCTTTTCTAAAGTTTTCAGGAAAAAGGATATCAGACTTTACATCTGTTCGCAACGCTATAACAGCCTTATATTCGTTGGCCGCTCTATTACGGTACCACTATCCTAGAATGTGTTAAAAGTGGAAACTTTATTCCATTTCAAAGTAATTTTCCCAACAAAAAACTTTAATTTCTATTCCACAGGTTGTAGACACTCCTCAAAAACACCTCTACACCAGCAGTCCATTTTCCGAATTCCTCTCCCTGGACATGCGTCCTCCTCCTCCAGGAGAGCCTCCGATCAGGCCCAACCCCAACGCACCCACCGACAACGACGTGAAAGTCAGCTCGCAAAGAAAAGAAGCCACCTACCTTTGGGTCATCGGTCCGGTGATAGCGGCAGTCCTTCTGTGCTCGATCCTGGTCGCTTTGTTTATACTGCGTCGTAGGAGGCAACCGTGCAAAGCTCCCGATCAGGCGGCAGTCACCAAGCCCCTAATCTCAGCCGACTTGAACACCAGCACGGCTCCTAGTGACCCGGTGGAACAGAGACGTTTGAACTTCCAAACTCCCGCCATGATATCGCACCCTCCGATTCCTGTGTCGGAACTTTCCAATCATATTGAACGACTGAAGGCCAACGACAATCTTAAGTTTTCGCAGGAATATGAGAGTATCGAGCCGGGTCAGACTTTTACCTGGGAGTTTTCTAATATGGACGTCAACAAGCCGAAAAATAGATACGCTAACGTTATTTCTTATGATCATAGTCGCGTGATACTGCCAACTGAAGATGGGCGTAGAGGGTCTGATTATATTAATGCCAATTACTGTGATGGATATAGGAAGCACAATGCTTATGTGGCAACGCAAGGGCCTTTGCCCGAAACGTTCGCCGACTTTTGGAGAATGTGCTGGGAGCTGAAATCGGTCACGGTGGTGATGATGACTAAGCTGGAGGAACGCACCAGGATCAAGTGCGATCAGTACTGGCCCACAAGAGGCACCGAAGTCTACGGCTCGATGTCCGTAACCATATCGGACGTGCAGGAGCTCGCCACTTATTGCATACGCACATTCCAAATCCAAAAGGACGGATACTCGGATAGCCGAGAAGTTAAACAGCTGCAGTTCACTGCTTGGCCGGACCACGGGGTGCCCGATCATCCGGCTCCTTTCTTGCAATTTTTGAGACGGGTGCGCAGCCTGAATCCGATGGACGCCGGACCTATTTTGGTGCACTGTTCGGCGGGCGTGGGCAGGACCGGGTGTTTTATTGTCATCGATTCGATGCTGGAACGGATGAGGCACGAGAAGACTGTGGATATTTACGGGCACGTGACTTGTCTTCGGGCTCAGAGGAATTATATGGTGCAAACTGAGGATCAGTACATTTTCATTCACGATTCACTTTTAGAGGTAAGCTTGATTTTGGGGGATGAGGTTTGTTGAATTTTCATTGTGGATTCTTTACAGGCTTACATTTGTGGAGCTACCGAGGTACCGGCCCGTAATTTGCACCCGCACATCCAGAAACTGATGCAGCTTGAATTGGGCGAAAATATCACCGGAATGGAACACGAATTTAAAAAGCTAGGCAACATTAAGACTGATTCTTCACGTTTCGTTACTGCAAACTTACCTTGCAATAAGCACAAAAATAGGTAAGTATATAATATGTAGATCAGCGGGTTTCAGAAAACCTCGTGGGTGCTGATGTTCATGCACCGGCATTTATGAGGAGGGGCGAACAGTCCGCCGGTGGCGAAAAAACTTCTCTAGAAGCCACGCCCAAAAACGTTTACCAGCATTCTTTAATTTACATTCGGACGAGTGTCTAAGAAGGGAATGGTAATACATTTGAAACAACGTAGTTCACACCTTTCCATATTCGTTTTCCAGCTACGGGAACTAAGGACGGCTATAAGGGTGAAGAGTAGAGTGTTTTCACAGCTATCAGAACAATACCCACTTCTACCACGTAAAAGCCCCCCTCCAGCATAGCCATCATAGCCCACCATTAATCTATTTTCAAAAGGCGCCGCCGATCTAGAGATTTTCCCACGGTATCGAAAAACTTCCCAGGCTCAAGTGCCCCCAGCTATCAGACTAGCAGATTCACAAGCAAAATATTTATTATTGCAATAAAATTAATGCACCTGTTTATGACCAATACCCAGCTCACAGCTATCAGAGCAATACCCACCTCCACTACGTCAAAAAGCTTCTACTATTCCTGCATTTGTATTCGTCAATGGTGTTCTAAACTCCATTGCAATAATAACATTTTGCTTGTGAATCTGGTGGACCACTTACGTAGTAGAGGTGGGTATTGGTCTGATAGCCGGGGGCACTTGAGCCTGGGAAGTTTTTCGATACCGTGGAAAAATCTCTAGATCGGCGGCGCTTTTGATCTGAAATTTTGGGGATTTGACCCGGGCCAACCCCAAAATTGACGAATTCGAATACAAATGGAAGAATTGGTTAAATATTCTTTGGTTTTCAAGAAAGTGAAGGGATATAATAAAGTGCAATCTCAGGGTAAGAGCCTTTTGAAAATAGATTAATGGAGGACTTTACGGAAGAGGGTTTACAGTGCAGGTGAGTAAAAAGTGCCTCCTCAGGGTAGAGCTTCACGGAAGGGGGTACAGTGGAGGTGGGTAAAGTCCGCCTTACGAGTCCAGCACTACGACGTCTGAAGAGCAAGGGGACATACCGCCATTTATTTCGAGCTTTATGCTGCCTGTCATAGATGAGCGTGCAACGTTTTTGAATATTACTTTTTCCTTATAAATGTAGGTGTATAATATAAATAAATATTAAGGTATTTTTTATTGGAAGTCAAATAGGCAATATTGCAATTTTTTTATCCGCATTCTTTCCATAGTGCTAGACTGCTGGAGGGGAGTTTTTACGCGGTAGAGGTGGGTATTGGTCTGATAGCTGTGAAAACACTCTACTGTAAAGTGTGGAAAACTCTCCTGCAGATATTATTTTCCAAGCAACATGTACCGAAAAGATTCATAAAAGATTTCTGATTTTCTTCATCTTCTTCTTCTTCTAAACAAAGTACCACCATGTTCTGATATCAACTGCCAGTACTGGATTTACTGTGCTGATTTTACTGTCATTTGCCGTTCCAATTTCAACAGGGTACTCTTGTGGTCATTCAGTACTGAATCGACTGAATCCAGTGTACCTACTGAAAATAATATCGGAACGGCGTCCAGTAAATTCAGTACTGACAGAGTTAATATCGGAACATAACCTATATAAGGCTATGGTCCAAATATAACCAAACGTTAACCATTAGCTCTGTTCCAACAGACATGAGAACCGTTCCAGAACCAATAATTTCCAGTTGCCCACCTATTTTTCAATAAGTTGAACGTTTTTCCTAATTGACAAATGGATTGATCGACTGGAAATTACCGTTCTAGAAAGGTTTTCATGTCTGCTAGAACAGAACTAAAGTAACCGAATCGGTCAACAGATGTTTACTGAAAATTCCGGTTACTTTGGGGAACGCAAATATGGAAATAAAACATAATTGACAGAAGTTACAGATAAAACCTTGATAAAACCAACAGAACCGACATCTGATGACCGGTAACTGTTTTGACATTTGGTTAACCAGATTTTAGGAACCCGAGGTACAAATTAACCAGTTTTCCAGGAACTAGAGAGGATTATCAGTTTTTAAGTTTATGTTCGCGGGTGCTTCGCACCCACTGTTCAGGTCTCGTGGGTGCTCGAGCTCCCGAGCATCCACGTAGTCGGCGCCCCTGATGTAGATCGATACTGGCAGGTACTGAGGTCCCATTCGGGAGGGCTCTCAGCTATAGTTGTTATTTTGAGCCACAGCTGTCAGAATTGTCAACAAATTTTGTTACGAAAATTAAATAAAAAACCGCATAACTCGTACCTATTATCTAAACTAGTCAAAACGAAATAAGGACCACTTTTAAAAACACTTTTATTTTTATTGAATTTTGAATAACCCTGTTAAAGTGTTTATTTCCATTAACAGTATACATTTTTTGTGCACACTTTATTTGTCTGTCTATATTGTAAATTGAAATAGTCACTATTTACCAGGGCTATTCAAAATTTGATATAAACCAAGGTGCTCTAAAAAGTGGTCCTTATTTCGTTTTGAGTAGAATATTAATCATAGAAAAAGTACTCGTGAGTAATGGCTATTACTCACTCGGACGATCACACTACTCGCCTGCGGCTCGTAGTGCAAACTTCATCCTTCATGAATAGTAGCCATCATTACCCGCTCGTTGAATAATATACTATTATTCAACTGACCTGTGAATGCTCCTTTTGACAGGCAAACTAATCACAAATTGGATTGAACAATCAGTTTAATACAAAATGAAAATTGAATAATGAACAATGGCGGACAAGCGGCTTTTTCTCTGGTCTCTCATTTTCTATCTACCCTTCGGTACCTACGATTTTCCTGTGGCGCGCCACTGTTCTCAAAAACTTTACATCGCATACATGGTTGCAACATTTACCATTTGCTTTTCTATAGGAAACTTTTTAAAAAGTTGATTTGTAGAAATAATATTTTAAATAGACGGTTTTTCTCAATACTTCTTGAAATTCAACATAATATAAGAAATCTTTTTCAACCAATCAGCTGCAAGAGAATTATCACATGTTGTTGTTTAAAATTCCTTAAGGTGGCTTTACATTCCCAATTCTCTCGTTTCCAGATTAGTACATATCCTACCTTACGAAAGTACGCGGGTTTGTCTGCAACCAATAAGAAACATGGAAGGTTCCGATTACATAAACGGTAGTTTCATCGATGGTTATCGGTATCGGAAAGCGTACATCGCCACCCAAGGTCCGTTACCCGACACCACTGACGATTTGTGGCGCATGCTCTGGGAACACAACTCTACCATTATTGTAATGCTGACTAAACTTAAGGAAATGGGAAGAGTAAGAATAAAATCTAACTAAACTGCTGGACAAATGAAACGGAACAAGCGAATTTTTAATTTAACTTTGGATTCCAATAAAACGCGAACTGGAGAAGTTATCAATGAATGATTTGCGTAATTTAGGAGTTAGTTTTCGCGAACCGCTCATTGATATTATTTTCAGTTCGCGTAATATTGGAATTTGAAGTTAACCTAAAAATTCGCTTGTTCCGTTTCATTTGTCCAGCAGTTTATTTAATTAATAAATACATGATTATTTTTACATAGGAAAAGTGTCATCAATATTGGCCAAGCGACCGCTCGGTTCGTTACGGATGTTACGTGGTAGACCCGATAGCCGAGTACAACATGCCCCAATACATTTTGCGCGAATTTAAAGTTACGGACGCGCGCGATGGTTCTTCTAGAACGATGCGCCAATTCCAGTTCACCGATTGGCCCGAGCAAGGAGTACCAAAGTCCGGAGACGGTTTCATCGATTTCATTGGACAGGTGCACAAGACTAAGGAACAATTCGGACAAGACGGTCCTATCACTGTACATTGCAGGTACATAAATACCGAGGGGTGGTTAACTCCTTACAATATGTACACAAATCTTCACACGATTTTACAGGATTTTAAAAGATTTTAGATTTTTTAGATTTTAGGTTATTTTGGAGCATTTTAAAGGATTTTGAAGGGTTTTTCTGCCTAAAGGGTTTTCAGAGATTATTACGAATTTTTGGGAACCCTAAAGGATTTTTGGAAATTTTAAAGGAAATATTTTTTAGGATTTTCAATGATTTTATAAGACTTCGCGGCATTTCTTTTTTTTTTTGTTCTAATAAAATTTCATGAGATTTTGTAGGATTTTATGCGATTTCAAGTGATTTTAAGGAATTTTGTTGAATTTTTAAAGGTTTTAAGGGATTTTAAGTAGATCTTACGAGTTTTTCTGGGGTTTTGACCAATTTGTAAACGGATTTTGACCAATTAACTGCTCCGAGGTTTAGTTAACTCCTTAAAATAATTACACAGATTTGAATCTTTATGGATTTTGTAGGATTTTGAGGATTTTGAAAATCTTCACACGATTTTACAGGAATTTAGAAGATTTTTGAGATTTCAGATGATTTTGGAGCATTTTAGGGGTTTTTGAAAAGTTGTTAGAGATTCTAAAGTGTACTTAGAGGTTTTAACAAATTTTTGGGGATTCCAATTCCAAAGGATATTTTCTAGGAATGTTAATGATTTTATAAGATTTTGCAGGATTTTTTCTTTTGGTTTCAGTAAAATTTTGTAGGATTTTATACGATTTTGTGGGGTTTTGTTAAATTTTTATGGATTTTAAAGATTTTTAAGGATTTTAAATAGGTAATTCTTACGAGATTTTCTGGGATTTTGACCAACTTGTACACGGATTTTGACCACTTAACCGCCCCTCGGTTATTGTCTACTTGAAAAATTTGAGATTTTGGGAAAATAGAGCTTCTAACTTTTCTCTTCTCTTGCAAAAATTTTCAAATTTTTCCTTTCATTAGTTTTCCAGGAAAAATTTAAAATTTGTGAGACGGTATTATCAACTAATTCAGTTTTTGACAGGTTGATTTCCAAGATTCTTCATGTTGTTATTTTCCACTGGAAAAATTTAAAATTTTGGGAAAATGAGCTTCTCACCTTTTTCTTTACATGCAACAAGTTCCAAAAATTTTCCCTTCACTAGTTTTCCAGGAAAACTTTGAATTGTGTGAGACAGTATTTTCAATTAATTCAGTTATTGAAGGTTCATTTCCAAGATTCTTCATGTTGTTATTTTCCATTGGAAAAATTTAAAATTTTGGGAAAATGAGCTTCTTACCTTTTTCTTCACATACAAAAAGTTTCAAAATTTTTCCTTCACTAGTTTTCCAGGAAAACTTTGAAATGTGTGAGACTATATTTTCAATTAATTCAGTTATTGTACGTTGATTTCCAAGATTCTTCATGTTGTTATTTTCCACTGGAAAAATTTGAAATTTTGGGAAAATGAGCTTCTCACCTTTTTCCTTACATGCAAAAAGTTACAAAATTTTCCCTTCACTAGTTTTCCAGGAAAACTTTGAAATGTGTGACACTGTATTTTTAAGTAATTCAGTTTTTGTAGGTTGATTTCCAAGATTCTTCATGTTGCTGTTTTCCATTGGAAAAATTTGAAATTTTTGGGAAAATGAGCTTCTCACCTTTTTCTTTACATGCAAAAAGTTTCTTAATTTTTCCTTCACTAGTTTTCCAGGAAAACTTTGAATTGTGTGACAGTATTTTTTATTAATTTAGTTATTGTAAGTTGATTTCTGATATTCATGTTGTTATTTTCCACTGAAAAAATTTGAAATTTTGGGAAAACGAGCTTCTCACCTTCCTCTTTACATGCAAAAAGTTTCAAAACTTTCCCTTCATTAGTATTCCAGGAAAACTTTGAAATGTGTGAAACTGTATTTTCAATTAGTTCAGTTTTTGTAGGTTGATTTCCAAGATTCTTCATGTTGTTATTTTCCACTAGAAAAATTTGAAATTTTGGGAAAATCAGTCTCTGACATTCCTCTTCACATGCAAAAAGTTTCAAATTTTTCCCTTAATTAGTTTTCCAGGAAAATTTTGAATTGTGTGAGACTGTATTGACAATCATTTCAGTTTTTGTAAGTTGATTCCCAAAATTTTTCATGTTGTTATTTCCCAATGGAAAAATTTTAAAATTTTGGGAAAATGAGTTTCTCCCCTTCCTTTTTACATGCACACAGTTTCAAAATTTTCCCTTCACTAGTTTTATTAGATTTTGTAGGATTTTGTTAAATTTTTAAGGATTTCAAAGATTTTTAGGGATTTTGAGTAGATCTTCTGGGATTTTGACCAACTTGTACACGGATTTTGACCAGTTAGCCACCCCTCGATAAATACATATATATTTTTATAACAATTGTGAACAATAATTTGCATTTCAGTGCTGGTGTTGGAAGAACTGGTGTATTTATAACGTTGAGTATAGTTTTGGAAAGAATGCAATATGAAGGGGTGGTAGATGTGTTCCAAACTGCCAGGATATTGAGGACTCAGAGGCCTGCCATGGTACAAACAGAGGTAACCAATCAAAAACTTTAAAAAATTTAAATTAATTTAAATATTTTTGCTTTAGGATCAGTACCAGTTTTGTTATCGAGCAGCTCTCGAATATTTAGGATCTTTTGATCATTACACAAACTAAGTTGTTAATTTGATTGTTAAGAGGATGCTGGCTTTATCAATAAATTAATGTGTCTGTGTATAAAAGCCAAATACATAATTTAACTTTACTTTGCAGATTTTATATTAATTTGCTTTATACTCAAGGCCATTTTAATATCTAAAATTTTTGATTCTAAAGACCAATCAATGAGCCCAAAAGATGTCTAAAGATAGCGATATTTTGCACTGTAGGTACAGCATCCTCTTAACTTAATTGTTAACAGAAGATGACAATAACTGCCCCCATCCATCGTCCATCGAGCTCTTCTGTTTTCGACTTTGCCATCATTGCTAGGAGGCAAATTTGATGGGGAAAATTATTAAAAAATGCAATCCGTTGTAAAATGTAAATTTAAGCAAACCGATAAAATTAGCAAGAAAAACGTGTGAATTATGTGCCTAACATAAGGGAGAGAATATATGGAAATTGTATAGTAAACTGCCCCTGATGTGCACAACAATTATTAGCGAATCAGTATTTTAAATGTTCAATTTTTTGTATTTTTTGTCACTTTTGTCTGTTTTTTTTTTAACAACTTTTATGTCTTGCCTTGATTTATCTCATAATTAAGTATAACTAAATGTCAACAACTCTTAATGCTGACTTTTATATATTTTTTTTGTACTTTGTTATCCATTAACTTGGAATATGATGTTTTTTGTCTTATTTTTTTTCGGGAAAATCCTTTTATTATTAAATTGTTAACAAATTTATATATTTTTCCAAAACAAAATAATAATAAAAACTTTCTCCCTCTAAACGTATAAGTATACATATCCTCCTCTAACATTTAAATTTGTATCCCTGCCCTGCATTATATCATATATTAACTTAGATTTTTTTTTATAAACCAATTATTTACAATGATAATTATTAATAATTAGTTAGCGTAAATGAAATATTAGTGATACTCAAGAACAAAAACTGGTTGTATATATACCGGGTTTATATATTTTGACATCCACAAGATGTTTATTTAATCCAATGGGTGGGTGTCAAAAATTATTAAATCTTGGACACTTATTATTTTTGTCAAAAAAAAAAAAAAGAAAATACCGTTTTCGGTATCTAGACTGATTTTTATTAATTATTACTTAATTTTCTGTTTGTTTAATTAATGTATAAATCAATTCACAAAACGTTGTAGCACATGATGAGTAAAAGAGATCTTGAGAAAAATAAAAAATAGATTTTAATTACTTTTTGTTTTGTTTCATCAGCTCATTTTTTTGTCCTTTTCATCAGCCCTTTGAAAAAACATATTATTTACGTATCATTATGTAACTCATATAAGTGTGGTTATTTAGGTGTACAACATAATATGGGATTTTTACCATTGAAAATGTGGGCACGTAGTATGAGGTACAAAATTCGAAATTTTTATGTTGCATTTGTCACAGAGTCGGAGAAGGGCGATGACGGGTAGGAGGTAGGGGGGTAGGGACTTTTGAGACAAGGACCTGCAACAAGAGTAAGTTTTTGGAAGAAGTCCAGAGAAGTCAGGATAAAGTCTGCTAAAGACTGGATAAGTCTGTATAAGGCTGGATAAAATCTGGAAAAGGCCTGGAAATTTCTGGAAAGGGTCGGAAAAATTCTGGAAAGAGTTAGGTTATCGCTGATCTCAGAGCTCACATTAATCACAACTCGAATCACAAGCATAAGGGTACGTCGAGGGGTTTTTCACCTTGTTTATCGGTGTACAAATCACTGGTTATAAATATGTCAATACCAGGTAAATACTATGTCAATAGTGTCAATACTATGCAATACCTACTTTTTAATAATGTAAGTAATAATATGTCAATACTTGTAGATATCTAGGCAATATACAGGGTGTTCCTAAATATCATCACATATCACAAACAGTTTTTAAATAAGGTAGAAACATTATTTTGTTTCTTGGAATCGACCAGCGGCACATTGCGAAAGAGTTCAGGGGGCATGACCTCTGAAAAAGCATCACCCTGTAGATTCTGGCAAGCGCTTGACATGTGCAATCATTTAGCTCCTATTGCGTAACCTATATTCTAAATTTGAGCTAAATCCCTCAAAAATTGCAGGAGCTATGAAGAAAAAACTAAAAAAATATTAAAATTTCAACACCCTGTAGATCGGTGATGAAGCATTTGCGGACCTATGTTTACAAGAAATTTAAGTCATAAAATAAACCAAGGAATCACCCCCTTTCATTTGTATGTACATGATATTTAGGAACACCCTGTATGTTAATGTCATTGGTTGATACAATGGCTCATACGAATAAAACAGAAGCAAAAGCTTTTGCTCAAGTTTTTTGAGATAAACATATTCAGCTTTAATGCAGCAAAAAGAGACGTAGGTAAAGTAAAAGCATTTGCTCCACTTTACTTTATTCATATGACTAAATGTCATTGGTTGAGCAGGTAAAGGTAAAGAGGTGTAGTAACCTGGATTTGGAAAATGAAGCCGTTCTTCGAGGCGAAACCGTATATAATATGGTTTTTGCCACATGGTCTGCGAGTGACGTCACCACGTCAGCAGCTGTTAGTGGTGACGTCACCCGCAGACCTCGATGAAATGCATGCGATTCAGGCTCATTATTTGACTTTTGCGTCGATTTCAAATGAAGAAATAGCTATTTATGTAACAAGTTGTAAAATGAGCGTTTTTTGTACTAAATGCAAAGATTGGGTAGCGGGAAAAAGCGGGACCGATTAACAAAATTCGGGACTGTCCTTCCTAAGGTGGGACGTCTGGCAACCCTGCTTGTACACCATAATCCAAAAACTGTTGTTGTCCATTTTCATTCAAAAAGTTTCTAAATCATTATGCTTCATAATCATATTCATGTCGAATAATTGCACAATTTGGTCTGAGTTGTTTGATCTGGTTGGATAATAAACAAAAATCTAGTACCGGGCGCGCCGCCGAGCAACGTACGAGGAGAGGCGGTAAGTCCGACGGCGATCAGGGTGCGGTGGGATCCGCCGCCTGCGAACCGGAGCAACGGCAACATAATTTACTACAAGCTGCATTTCGTTGAAGCTGATAGGTCCGATAGCGACGCTACGATTAACAAAATGAACGGAACCGAGTTCGAGCTGGACGAGCTCAAACGCTGGACGACTTATCGTATTTGGGTGCTGGCTGGGACGTCGGTCGGCGATGGGCCCGCCTCTTATCCGATCAACATTCAAACGTTAGAAGATGGTACGTTTCACTGAGAATAACTTCTACATACCCCTATACCAAAATAGATCGACTATAGTTTTTTTTTTTTTCTCAATTTTTTGAAAATTTCATGTTAATAAAACCAAGGTCCGATTTTGAAAGTTGGATATAGGTACACATTACAAGCATTATGTGTACATGAAAAGAGATCTATACTCTGTTTTTTTGATTCCAGGTGTTGCGGAAATAACCCACAACAAGTTTAAACTTTTATTATTTCCAATTTAATATAATCTCAATTTCTATTATTTACCCTAAAAATAGTATTCTAAAAATAGATGCAACAACCGTTTGAACCAGTAAAATTACAGGTTTCTTCATTTCCTTATGAGACAGTGGAGCTATTTCACTACTGTGATTGGTCAGCCGCCACATTGTTTTCTAGATTTTTGCGACCTGCTCCGGAAAAGCTAGTCGACGCGCATTCGGCAGTAACATTATATTAAGCGAAGAGTTCGCACCCTCGCGCCCTCTGAATGCTCCCCAGAGGAAAAACCCCAAAAAACCCCCGTTAGTGCACGCGATTTATAGTACAATAGAAAGATCAATGTTTGGAATAACATTGAAACAGTGACACTTGCAAAGAAAAAAGTAGAGACTTTATCTGATCCAGATTGTGTCAGACGAACAATGTTCCGAAATGGAACAAGAAAAATTGAAATGTAGTCAAAGTTAGTGAGGTCAGAAAACTCAACTGGAATTAGAAACGCTTGAATCTGGACATATCTTCTACAGCCTGAAAAATGAATTGGTTGAATCGGCTTTTTAACAAATGAAAGTATGGTACACAAAAATTGCTATATCAATACAATCTCAAAGTAGCCTACGTCTGTAAGTTATCCAAAGCAAAATAGAAAGATCAATGTTTGAAATAACATTGAAACAGTGACACTTGCAAAGAAAAAAAGTAGAGACTTCATTTGATCCAGATTGTGTCAGACGAACAATGTTCCGAAATGGAACAAAATAAATTGAAATGTAGTCGGAGTTAGTGAAGTCAGAAAACTCAACTGGAATTGGAAACGTTTGAATCTGGACGTATGTTTTACAGTCTGGAAAATGAATTGGTAGAATCGGCTTTTTAATAAATGAAAGTATGGCACACAAAAACTGCTATATCAATACAATCTCAAAGTAGCCTACGTCTGTAAGTGGTCCAAAGCAAAATAGAAAGATCAATGTTTAGAATAACATTGAAACAGTGACACTTGCAAAGAAAAAAAGTAGATACTTTATTTGATTTCAAATGCAGACAGTAGCTGTTTTCGGAAATGTAAATCCTGGATCGAGTAGGTGAATATCAGCTGATCGCGGTTTAGCTCGATTTCAGAGTAGATTATTTAACGTTTCCGAACGATCGGTATCGACGATCGCTGGCACCAACGTTTGTTTTTCTCCAATGATTTGAGGTTAAATATTTACCTTTGACTTTTCATTAGTTTTCAAAGACACTGCTTGTGTTGTTTTTGGTCACGTCTGCACTCTATCTATAATACCGTTAATTCAAACACAGAACTTGACAAAACATATTAAATAAACATAACGCATAACCAAAAAGATCAAATAGCTGATAGATTAATCTTCTACCCACGTCAAGAGCAAGGTTAACGAGATCACAAACATATGAAGAAACCGAGTTAACAAGATCACTTACCGAACGCGAGTACTCGACTTTGGATCATTTTACGAACGATGAGATTACTAATCCGATCGAACCGAAGAAAAACGCGAAAAATTATGAAGCCAAACCTTTCAATCCTCAATTTCTATGTCCCACCATTAGCAAAAATGAAAAGACAACTGATGGATCAAGGATATTATTGATAATATACCTGAACTAAAATTAATACGGAGATTTCAACAATCAACATCTCCTATGGAGAAGTTCAGTGGCAAACTTCAATGGAAATATCATAAATAATATTCTAAATGAAGTTTTACCTAATGATGGATCCCCAACTAGACTGACAATACCGGGCCAAAATAAATCACCTCCAGATATTTCTTTGGTATCCAGCTCTATGACCACAGTAATGGAATGGAAAATTTTAGAAGACTGTGGAAACAGTGACCATCATCGAATATTAATTTCCTTGAGACACAAGAAGCAAACCTATAAAGGCAAATTGGAAAAGATACCATAATGAACTGTTAGCTTGATTTCTGGGAAACAGTCCACAATCATATATGTACTGATCTGGAATAAGATATACTACAAGTTACTGGAAAAACAATATCAGTAAAAAAAGCTGAACAAAGAAAGCATAGAAGTCTAGTTCGATGGTGGGATGAAGAATATCAATTAAATAAATGAATATTCAATGGGAAATTTTATCCAAGTGAAGAGGGTCAGTGCTCAGAAAAGAAGGAAATTCAAAGAAAAGGAATATTGTGTAAATATAAATAGAAATACACCATTACAGAAAATTTGGACAACAATAAGAATATTCCCAAAAGGAAAAATTAAATCAAGAAATAAAGCTCCAGAGCGGGAAATGGCAATAGGTGAACATAGATCCAGATTTCACAATAGACAGAAATATTCTGGATCCCAGGACACTCAAACATCCGAGGCAACACGATAGCAGACCAATTGGCTAACGTAGGTAGAAAGCTTAGGGTCCCATATGGGTGGATATTTAAAAACAGTTGATTTTTTTTAATTATTTTTGAAATTTTCGAGTGGAACGGTATATTTAAGAGAATTAGAAAAACTCAATTATTTTTAAATATCCACCCGTAAAGTCAGTCCTACTAACCAGACTCTTTCCAACGAACCTAAGATCAACCAAATTTATTGAGTCGTTTCAAAGTTATCGACTTTCTTGGGTTGCAATATTTGATAGCTCATAACTATCTTATCCGATAAGTTATGGTAAAAAGTCATGAACCAAAATTGTGTGGAATTTCATCAATTTTTGTAGTTGTTCGAACCCAAAACAACTCTCGAAAATCTGTAACAGTGTAACAAAAAACAAATTCCACCTCT